ACTGGATATAAAGTCCTTCATTCATATTTTCTTTCCTTGGTTACTTTACATCTGTTACTCCATTGTCTTCTAGCATAAAGTGTTGCTGTCAGAGTTGTTGATGACTTTGATTTTACCTTATAAATCACTAAATATTTTTTGCCTGGTGTCCGGATGCATTTTTCTTTTCTTTTTGGAAATCCATTAGTTTTACTTGTATATTTCTCAGTGTTGGTTTTTCTGGATAGACTCTCTAGGTACTTGGGTGCACTTTCAGTATTTCAGTTCAACTCTTCTAATTTCAGGAAGTTTTTATTGATTTATAGTTTTAGGTATTTGCTCTATTTCACTGGTTCGGTTTTCTTATTTGAGAACTCTTTATTATATAAATTTAAAATCTAAGTGCCTTTGTTGTCATTTTCCTTCTGTTAATTTTTACCTTCATTTCTGATTCCATTTTTTTTTCTTTCTATAGTCTACTTCTCTTAAGCATTATCTGTTGTGTATTGGCTCTTAAAATTTCTCTGGCTACGTTCCTTTCTGAAATATATTTTTCCTTTATTTCTAATTATTTTTTTATTTCTAGGACCTCATTTCTGAGTTTTTCTAGTTCTGATTGGTAATATTCTTTCACATTTTCTATCATTTTCTAGGATAGTTTTAATCAGTTTTGTTCGTATGTCTTTTCAACAGGCTTTCAATAGCAACACTGTTTCCTATTCTCGTTTCTTATAGCATGGGATTCAGCATCAGTCCTTTCCTGTCCATTTTTTGATAGATTTTCCTGAACTTTTAAGAATGAGAAGTGGGTCAGGGTAGCCTTTCTAGCTTCACCACTCAAGATCTTTTTCTTCTGTTGTTTGTTACAAGATGATTTTTTTTTTTTTTGAGGGGGTGGCATTGGCATCCTATTTTCTGAGATCTGGCTCTGTTCTTTTTAAGGAGTTGCCCAGGAAGAGGACTTAGTTCTTTGGTTTTGAATCTAGCGCCATCATACTTTACAATGTTGGTGTGTACAATAGATCACTTCCATTTGCAACTGTTCTCAGTTGCCTTTCCAGAGTCTCTAATCATTCATGATTTGGAATTCTCTTGTTCTCAGGTTCTTCTCTCACCCCATTATTTCTGCCCTTCCATTTTCTTCTGCATATATGCTGGCACTATAGGAGTCCTGTAGCTGGTGATTTAACCAGACCCTGCTTGTATTTGAGAATTTGTTGGAATACTTTGTCTCCCAACCTTGTAGGTTTTGTTTGTTTGCTTGTTTAGGGGACAGAGTCTCTGTCACTCAGGCTGGAGTGTAGTAGTGTGATCATGGCTCATTACAGCCTTGACCTCCTGGGCTCAAGCCATCTTCTTGTGTCAGCCTCCTGAGTAGCTGAGACCGCAGGTGTGCACTACTACACCTGGCTAAGTTTTTAATTTTTTTCGTAGAGACAGTGTCTCACTATGTTGTCCAGGCTGGTCTCAAGCTTCTGGGCTCAAGCATTCCTCCCACCTCAGTCTCCCAAATTTCTGGGTTTATAGACATGAGCCACTGTGCTGAGTCCTCTTGTAGATTTTGTTTGTGGAGTTTGAGTCTGGCTATTCTGATGACATTTTTTGTGTGGGACAGGGGATGCCAAGAGATGAAAAAATTCATTGACATGTTTTATTCAAGAGAAAGATGATGCAGGTTTTGCATTTTAAAAAGAACCCCCCAGCTGCATTGTGGAAAATTGATTCAGTGCATGGAAGGAGACTGATTAGGCTATCTTAGTAGTCCAGATTAGGTAATGGTGGTTTACTCTTGGATAGTGGCAGTGGAGCTGGGAGGTTTGAATCCTATGTTGGTGACTTGTTTGATTTTTAAAGGATTGAAAGAGTGAGTAGACAGGGATAGTCTTCCAAGATTAGTCTTTTGCAACTATCTGTATGGTTGTACAGTTTCCTAACATTAGGAATATTGACAGGAGAGGAAATGTGGGGATTTTCTTGGTGAGGACGTTAGAAAGGGAACAAGTATATTAGTTTTATGCATGCTAAGTTTGAAGCCTTACAACAATCTCTCCTCCAACCCCTAACACGTATATGCACATATTTTAATTCTATAGGGAGGCTTTTTTATTTTTTTTGAGATGGAGTCTCACTCTCGCCCAGGCTGGAGTGTGCAGTGGTGCAATCTTGGCTCACTGCAACCCCCGCCTCCTGGGTTCAAGCAGTTCCCCACCTCTCAGTTTCAAGCAGTTCTCGTGCCTCAGCCTATCGAGTAGCTGGGATTACAGGTGCATGCCACCACGCCAGGCTAATTTTTTTATTTTTAGTAGAGACAGGGTTTCACCATGTTGACTGGTCTCGAACTCCTGACCTCTGATGATATGCCTGTGTCAACCTCCCAAAGTGTTGGGATTACAGGTGTGAGCCACCGCACCCAGCCAGCTTAATGCATTTTTATCACTCATTATTACTCTCATTTCCAGTAGACCAGGTGTTGGCAAATCTTTTTTTTTTTTTTTTTTCCCTCAAGACAGTATCTCACTCTATTGCCTAGGCTGAAATGCAGTGGCACGATCATGGCTCCCTGCACCCTTGACTTCCTGGGTTTAAGCAGTCCTCCATCTCATGTCCCCCGAGTAACTAGAACTGTAGGTGCACACAGCCATTCTCAGATGATTTTTCGTTTTTTGTAGAGGCAGTATCTCATTGTGCCCAAGGTTGGTCTCCTAGGCTCAAATGATCCTCCCTCGGCCTCCCAAACTGTGGGGATTACAGGTGTGAACCACTGCACCTAGTCTGCTAACTTTTTCTTAAGAGGACAAATAGTAAATATTTTAGCATTTGAGGACAAAGAGGTAAAATAAGAACATGATGTAGGTACTTAATGTCATTTATAATGTAACCACTTAAAAAATGTAGAAACTGTTCCTGTTGGGACCTACGAAAACAGATAGCCTGCCAGATTTGATACACAGGCTATAGTTTGCTGATCTCTGTGCTAAACTGTGAATTCTGTACTTGCCTCGTAGTTGGCAAACGTATTGCCCAATGTATTTTAAATGTATTGAGTGAAATTTTTGTTGAATGTGTGAAGGACTTATAGATTAAAAGCTTAAGAGAGAGAGTGGACTATAGATACTTGGGAGTGGTCATGAAACTAATTGCAGACCTGAGGGTAGGCGAGATCACTTGGGAAGAATATAAGGGAGAAGAGTCCATCTTTTTCTGTAATTTAAACAAAGAGCAGAATAAGTCATGACTAGCTCAGTGGTACTGAGTTAGTACCTCTTTTTAACTGACCTAAGCCAGTTTTGGCCATTTACACTTATATGATTCTTTTGGATGAATAAGTCATCTTTGATTATTAGAGATAGGTGAGGTTACATAATAGACACTTTTGCCTTAGAACTTTTGCTACCAGTGATTTATAGACGCAGTATTAGAATTCTGCTACATATATAAACGTACTAATAAGCAGCCACAAAAGTCATACAGCTTGTTTCATGGGCATAGTACTTTTATACTGGAGATTACCACCTTGTAAGCAGATATCACAATGTTCTGACTAGGATTAGGTGATGCAATTCTTTAAGAAGGAGTGGAACAAATGATCAAGGGGGTTTCTAGACAGAGAAACTTCCCTGACGTTGAGCTGTAGGGCCTGCCAAATTCTTAGAGCCCAAATAGGTAGGAATTAAGGTGCCTATGTTTCTAGTCAATTCATATATCTTAAATAACAATTCTTCCTTAGCAGTAAAAATCTATTTCCAACTTTCCTTATGCTGGTTATCAAACCAGTGTCTGTAAATTGAGATATTCATATTTGAAGCACTTATTACCTGGGAGCTAACTCCTGTTTAGGGGTGTTTAAAATGTTACACTAATCACCTCTTAAGTGTAGTTTCCTAATTTAGTGTGGTTCTTCAGAAGTTAACTCACCACTCCTGTCTATACAGAAATATCTTAGTGTGAATTAAGATGTTAGAGCAGAAAATTAATTATATTTTGGAGTAGATATGTTGCCTGGGTCTTTTTGTTATACGTCATCCTGTAATTCATAATAGTTAAGTGTTGCAAATATTGCAATGAAAGTATTTTTCTTTTCGGTTATAGGGAAAGTTGGAGTAAATATTCATTTTGGTAAAATTTTTAACAGTGGTACAGTTCTGATCTTCCAGTGAATAAAGTTAGCTTACAGAGTTATCAAATAACACTTCATTAATGTAGGTATTTGAAGATTGTTCAACATTCGTTGTCATTATATTAAAATGGCAGTATATTCAAAGAGTCATATACCATGACCATAATAGCCTTTATTTAAACTAATTGTAGCTCATTATTTAAAATATAAGATGTATCAGTCCTTAAGATTACAAATTACTTATTTATTGAGATAAGAGTCTCACTCTGTCACCCAGGCTAAAGTGCAGTGGCATGATGTCAGCTCACTTCAACCTCCACCTCCTAGGTTGAAGCAATTCTTATGCCAAGGCATGCCACACCCAGCTAATTTTGGTATTTTTATTAGAGATGGGGTTTTGTTATGTTGGCCAGGCTGATCTTGAACTCCTGGCCCCAAGTGATCCTCCAGCCTCCTAAAGTGCTGCGATTACAGGCGTGAGCCACTGCACCCAGCCAAGATTAAATTACTTCTAACTCAGATACCTCAGATCTTATTATTTATTTATTTTTGAGACAGAGTCTCAATCTGTAGCCTAGGTCTGGAGTGCAGCGGTGCGACCTTGGCTCGCTGCAGCCCCTGCCTCCCAGGTTCAAGCAATTCTTCTGCCTCAGCCTCCCGAGTAGGTGGGATTACAGGTGCCTGCCGCCATGCCTGGTTAATTTTTTTGTATTTTTAGTAGAGCTGGGGTTTCACCATGTTGGCCAGGCTGGTTTTGAACTCCTGACCTCAAATGATTTGCCTGCCTCAGCCTCCCAAAGTGCTAAGATTACAGGCATGAGCCACCACGCGCCCAGCTGAGATCTTTATATACTAGCAGTATCAGTATTTTGATACATATATAATCTTTAATTTTCTTTTCTAGACAATGCGAAGACACAGAAATGAAGTGACAGTGGAACTGCGGAAGGTAAGGTTGATTTATGTTTAAAGAAATGTAGTTAGGTTTTTTTGATGTTAAAATTCTGTATATCTTGAATAATGAAAATACTGTGGCAAGTTAATGGTCATCCCTAAAACCACACCTCATTGGATACTTTATCATGGTACTTATTCATAATAGCTTTCATTTACTCAGGGTACTGGCCCTGTGTGAAGCACTTTACCGTCACTGAAATTCTCATAACATCTGATGAAGTTAGATACTTTTTCCTTGACATCCTCTTTCTGTGGGCTTCCTCTCTCTTTCCCATGTAGTAGTTATACATACTTGTTAAAGGCCAGGCATGGTGGCTCATGCTTGTAATCCCAGCACTTTGGGAGGCCAGGGCAGGCAGATCACGAGGTCAAGAGATTGAGACCATCCTGACCAGCATGGTGAAACCCCATCTCTACTAAAAATACAAAAATTAGTTGGGCGATGTGGCGCATGCTGCATGCCATGCACACTGATAGTTCCAGCTGCTTGGGAGGCTGAGTCAGGAGAGACACTTGAACCCGGAGGTAGAGGTTGCAGTGAGCTGAGATGGTACCACTGCACTCTAGCCTGGCAACAGAGCAAGACTCCATCTCAAAAAAAAAAAAAAAAAAAAAGTTACACACACTTGTTAAAGATATTTAGAAAAATAAATAAAAGTAGAAAAACCTTGTATTTTCCCAACTGGATGCAACTGATATTAAAATTTATTGTATTTTTTCCCATTATTTTTGGAGGATTTTAGAGTTACCTTCATCAGATTGTGTTTTCTTTTTTCTTTTTTTGGGACAGTGTCACACTCTGTCCAGGTTGGAGTGCAGTGGTGTGATCTTGGCTTACTTCAGCCTTGATCTTCCAGGCTCAAGGGATCCTCCTGCCTCAGCCAGCTGAGTAGCTACCACTACAGGCACACCACCACACTCAGCTAATTTTTTTTTGTTGTTGAGACAACGTCACACTATGTTGCCCAGGCTGGCCTTGAACTCCTGGACTTGAAACAATCCTCCTGCTTCTGTTGGGATTACAGGCATGAACTACCATGCCTGGCCCCAGATTGTGTTTTCATATTTGAAACCAATATTTACATTGCTATTCTAGAAAATAATAGTGAATTCTCTCTATATACATGTATCTATACTTGTGCATTCATTCATTCATTCATTCATTTTTCTGAGACGGCGTCTCACTCTGTCGCCCAGGCTGGAGTGCAGTGGTATGATCTCAGCTCACTGCAACCTCTGTCTCCCGGGTTCAAACAATTCTCTTGCCTCAGCCTCCTCAGTAGCTGGGACTACAGGTGTGTGCCACCATGCCCGGCTAATTTTTTGCATTTTTAGTAGAGGGGGGGTTTCACTGTGTTAGCTAGGATGGTCTCGATCTCCTGACCTCATGATCCACCCACCTCGGCCTCCCAAAGTGCTGGGATTACAGGCATGAGCCACCGTACCTGGCCACATGTGTCATTTAAACAATAAATTTAAAACATTTCAGATCTTTGGTGTTTGTCTTAGGTTAGATTCTTTTCCTCATCTAATTCACTCCTAAAACTCCTTCCTATATTAAATTACCATCTTGGGCCAGGTGCAATGGCTCACGCCTGTAATCCCAGCACTTTAGGAGGCCAACACAGGCAGAACACCTGAGGTAAAAAGTTCAAGACCAACCTGGCCAACATGGTGAATCCCCATCTCTACTAAAAATACAAAATTTATCCAGGTGTGGTGGCACGCACCTGTAGTTCCAGTTACTCAGGAGGCTGAGGTCGGAGAATCACTTGAACCCAGGAGGCAGAGGCTGCAGTGAGCTGAGACTGTGCCACTACACTCCAGCCTGGGTGACAGAGTGAGACCCTGCCTCCAAAAAAAAAAAATTACCATCTTGAAACTTTTCAGTTGTAGGGAGAAGGAAGGAGGTCTTGATTCTAAAAGTACACATTCTCTTAGAATCACTAGAACTAAATAGATTTGTGCATTTATTATTTAATTATTTTAAGTACACACTTTATTTCATACAGTGGCTAGGTAGCTCTTCAAATCTATAAAGTTTTACAACAATATTGCCAGAAGCTCATTTTAACTCCATTCATAAAGCCTTCATCAGAAATGCATTTAGTTATCCAGCCAAGCATTACTTTTTGAGCAATTGTCTCATGGAGATGAACATTATATAAATAATCACATAACCAAATATATTCTTACAAATTGTGAATGATGCTATGGAAGAAAAATAGCCATGAAAGTTAACAGGGTGAAGTTTTTTAAAACTGGGCATTCAGAGGGGATCCAATATGGCCGTTTAGGAACAGCTCAGGATTGCAGCTCCCAGTGAAAGTGCAGAGGGTGAGTGGACGCCACATTTTTATTGCCCACAGACTAGGAAATTCCCAGGCGGAGGAGTTCCACGGGTCACCAGCGTGGCTGTTTCGGCCAGCGCAGTTGTGTCGGCCAGCGCTGCCGCTTTGCCCCGCGCGGCTGCTTTGTCAGTGCCCCGGCGCAGCGGTTCTCTGTACAAAATACACTGGTCCGGGTGCCCTTTTGGCTGGCGATTGGAGCCACGGGAAGTCACCCATTCATCTGCTTAAAAAGGGGACTGAACAGGGAACCAGGACAGTAGATTCCGGGGCAAAAAAAGTGTCACGAATCTCAGTGCTGCTGTTTAAGCCAGCACAGTGAGTCGCTGCACGGGAAAACACACAGATCCCGGCGCCTCTTCAACAGGCGACTGCAACACCAACTTAAAAAAAAAAAAAAAAGGCTCTGAGGCAGGGAGCTAGGCACTTGGCTGGTCCCACCCCCACAAAAGAACAGCAACCAGGAACTCTCTGGATTGAGAGTTTCACAGCAAAAGCAGCTAAACCTGGGATGGTCCAGCCCGTGGGGGAGGGGCGTCCACCATTACCGAGGCAGCCCAACACTACGGAGGTAGTCAGCCAATGCTGAGGCAGCCTGCCGTTGCCAAGGCAACCCGCCACTACAGAGAGACTCCACCTTAACAGAGGCGGGCCACCATTGCCGAGGCAGTTCTAACTACACCCATATAAACATGACTGCCGGGAAGTTTACTCGGCAGCTGGGCGGAGCCCACGGCAGCTCAGCAAAGCCTCTACGGGCAGACAGTGACTAGGCTGCCTCCTTGCTGGGCAGGGCAGCTCTGAAGGAAAAAAAAGAAGGCAGCAGCCTAACGGAAACTCATAAATAAAGCCCTAAATCCCTGGGACATAGCACCTGGGAACAAAAAGCAGTTTATGAGTTCTGCTGCAGCAGACCAAAACTTACCTGCCCAGCAGCTCTGAATGAACAATGGAGCTCACAGCTCAGCATTTGAGCTCTTATAAAGAACAGACCATCTCCTCAAGCAGCTCCCTGACCCCTGTGTATCGAAAGAGCCACCTCATAAAGGTGAGATCAGATTGACACTTGGCGGGTATCCTTCTGGGACAAAGATAGCAGAAGAAGAAAACTGGTAAGAACCCTTAGTGTTCTGCAGCTGCTGCAGGTGATCCCCAGGCAAGCAGGGTCTGGAGTGGACCTCAGCAGACCTACAGCAGACGGACCGGACTGTCAGAAGGAAAACCAAGAAACAAAAATAACCTCATCATCAACAAACAGAACATCCATTCAGAGACCCAACCTGAAAGCCAGCAACTACGAAGACAACAGGTGGATAAATCCATAAAGTTGGGAAGAAACCAGCGCAAAAAGGATGAAAACACCCAAAACCAGAACACCGCTCCTCCTACAAGGGATCACAACTCCTCACCAGCAAGGGAACAAGGTTGCATGGAGAACGAGTGTGATGAAATGACAGAATCAGACTTCACAAGGTGAGTAGTAAGAAACTTCTGTGAACTAAAAGAACACGTTCTAACCCAATGCAAAGAAACTAAGAACCTTGAAAAAAGATTTGACGAAATGCTAACGAGAATGGACAAAATAGAAAGGATTATAAGCGAATTGATGGAACTGAAAAACGCAACACAAGAACTTCGCGAACCATGCACAAGTATCAACAGACGAATTGACCAAGCAGAAGAAAGGATATCAGATGTCGAAGATCAACTCAATGAAATAAAACGAGAAGGCAAGATTAGAGAAAAAAGGGTAAAAAGGAATGAACAAAGTCTCCAAGAAATGTGGGACTATGTGAAAAGACCTAATCTACGTTTGATAGGTGTACTTGAATGCAACGAAGAGAATAAATCCAAGCTGGAAAATACTCTTCAGGATATTATCCAGGAAAGCTTCCCCAACCTAGCAAGGCAGGCCAATATTCAAGTCCAGAAAATACAGAGAACACCACAAAGATATTCGTCAAGAAGAGCAACCCCAAGGCACATAATGGTCAGATTCACCAGGGTTGAAATGAAGGAGAAAACATTAAGGGCAGCCAGAGAGAAAGGTTGGGTTACCCACAAAGGGAAGCCCATCAGACTAACAGCAGATCTCTCAGCAGAAACCCTACAAGCCAGAAGAGAGTGGGGGCCAATATTCAACATCCTTAAAGAAAAGAACTTTCAACCCAGAATCTCCAATCCAGCCAAACTAAGATTCATAAGTGAAGGAAAAATAAAATCCTTTGTGAACATGCAAGTACTCAGAGATTTCATCACCACCAGGCCTGCTTTACAAGAGCTCCTGAAAGAGGCTCTACACATATAAAGGAACAACCAGTACCAGCCACTCCAAAAACATGCCAAATGGTAAAGAGAATCAACACAATGAAGACTCTGCATCAACTAATGGGCAAAACAGCCAGCTAGCACCAAAATGGCAGTATCAAATTCACACATAACAATATTAACCCTAAATGTAAATGGACTAAATGCCCCAATCAAAAGACACAGACTGGCAAATTGGATAAAAAGCCAAAACCCATTGGTGTGCTGTATCCAGGAAACCCATCTCACATGCAAGGTTACACAAAGGCTCAAAGTAAAGGGATGGAGGAAGATTTACCAAGCAAATGGAGAGCAAAAAAAAGCAGGAGTTACAATT